CAAGATTCCCGTTGTCTTTGATCATTATGTCATTTAAACTAACGTGAAAGAAATTATTTTCATCTGCATTACAGAAAATTGGTTCGAGGCGCTTCCTCTAAATAAACCTGTATTTAATTATCCAATTTCTCGTATGATACTTTTGGTATATTGACTTGTTGCTACATAAGTAAAATATCAAAAATATGCATTAGTTGGAATTACATTAGAAAATTCTTACTCGTTTCCAATCATGTATTTTTACATTGATTTACATTGTTGACTTCTACTATATATGACTTCATTTAAATTTCATTTCATAATTAATTAATTTCTATAAGCATAGCATAATAACGACCTGCAGTCGCAGTGCAGCTTGTTAGATGTCAATTTCCGAAATAAATTGTTTTGAAAGCACTATTTACGCCTAATTTAAAGTTATTTCAGATCTTTGTGTCGAAATGAAAGTGAGTCTCAGTATCCAATAATTTAAAGTCGAATACTCAAAAAAAAGTTTTAATCATTCGAGGTATGTATAATGTATTATAACAGCCTATACTTTCCCTATATAAGTTATTGGATAACTTAGAGTAATTCATTAATGAAACCTATCGTTTGAAAATCCCAATTCTAAAATAGGAACGTGGTAATTGCAATTTTTAAACCATCCTTTCGAAGAAAGGTGTATATAACGAAGAATATCAAATAAGTAATTATTAAAAGTCGACTAAATCATAAGTGAGATTATTTAAATAATTAATCATAGAAATAAAAAAAAAACTAAACATGATCAACACGATCATTATCATTTTAACCAAAAATTCAACAAAAATTTTATTATAATTGAAAATATTCTTAATTACAAATTTCAATGAAATTGAATTCGAAACCGACCAGGATGTTTTAATGAAACTACAGGGTAAAGTCTTGATGGGAGATCATTCCAAGTTGATACTGGTGGATATTTAACTCCATTGACCGTAAATGAACAATTCCTTTTATTCATATCTAAATGAACAGTTATTTTCATATTATTTCTATTAAATGCAGGACAATAATTATGTTTCATTTGAAAGTGATGACGCGTCGAACCATTGGAAACTAAAACCCACCCAAAATGATAACCTGCGGTAGCAGTATCAAAATTAATAACATCTGATGCACACACACCAACCCAAGAATGTTTACAATATTTATCAATAATAACATCCCATTCATAAATACCTTTATCTTCAAATACCACCTTAGCTCTAACACTTTGTTGCGTTGTACAACCATTAGCTGCTTGTACAATTTTCCCATTATCTTCAATAATAAGTTTCGAACCACATGCTGACACATCCCAAATATAATCAGATATGTTAGATACTGCATGTCCACGAACTTCATTGTAACCAGTATTATCTGAAATTGCCTTATTTCTATAAACATTTAAAATCGTTTCAACCGGAATAATGTTCAATGGCTCAATGATATCAGCAAATATTTGGCTGTTAATTCGTCTAAAATCAATGAAATTTATCAATGGCTCTAATTCTTTGGCAACTTTGTTACGATCAGGGATAATCTCATTATCAAATTTTTTAGTGATATCCATATGCTCCAGGGTAGGTAACAACTTCAATAAAGATTCGGTTGCATCATTAGAAATCTGTTTAGCAACCAAAATAACACAATATCGAAAAACCTCATATTCTGGGGTTACAAAGTGTTTTTCCTTTTTATAAGTAAATGATAAAAGAACCTGAAGTGCTTTAGGGGATAACCGGCCAAATTCAATTGTATTTAACGGAATTGCTGATACTGCGTCAACTAACAGATTGTAAAGACTATTATCTTCCGTCAATGGAATTGCATCAACAATTGCAGATAACAATTCAGGTGAATAATTAATTTTGCTCTTTATAATAAAATCTTGAAGGTCCGGCAGTTGAAAGTAATCTGCAGCAATAAAAGCTTCAATGATATTTTCTTTGGTTAAAGATTCCTCTTTAACAAATCCTGTATAAACATATTCCAATATAACTTCCATTCCTGAAGAATTAATCTTTGAGAATGAAATTTGTTTCTCATAACTTTCTTTCATTCCATTATAAAGTAATGCATCAAATACTTCGGATCTTGCGGCTAAAATAGCTCTACAACCATGTAACTTCTTTTCATCTTTGCATATAATTTCTATATCACTATATTTTGGGTTATTGATTAAGAATCTCAAATCTTGTTTTAATGAAGAACCTTTTGTCATTTTAATACCTTTTTTTTTTTTTTAAAAAAAAAAAAAAAAAAAAGTGTATTTCCGCCGGAGAAAATTAAATGATCGGCAAAGTTTCGGACTTGCCACCTTTTTATTTTATTTCTTTAAATGTTACACAATCTGGGTCATTTCGTTGTCATACATTATATATTATTTAATAAACAATGACATTTTGAAAAGAGCGTCAATCAAAATACTGCGGCGGTTAAGTTTTTTTTTTTTTTAGAAATGATGCTGTTTACGAATCTTTGAATTGTAATAATTTTAATTTTTTATAATTTATTTTGAGTGACGAGTCGAGGTTTTTTAAAAAAATTTATTGCTATGGAGGTGAATTTTTTTTTTTTTAAAAAAAATAAATTCTATTTTTAAATTATTTTTAGAAGCGACGAATTTTTTTTTAAAAAAATAATTTTACTATACAGTTTCATATTAATAAAGTAAAAACAATCTAATTAAACCTAATATGAATTTAATTAAAAATTTAATTCCTATTTTCTTATTTCCAAATTAAAATTCTTCCCCATCATTAGTAATGTAATGTATCATTATTAAAGAATTACGTAATGGTAACTTTAGTATTAATTAAATTTTGTTTAAAAAAACATATTCACATTTGAAATAAAAAAGAAATAGAATATACTATTGCTAACCATTTTAATAATATCCGGAAATTTATAAATAATAAGTTAATTCCAAGCGTAGTGAAGTTATTCAGGGTTATATATTTAAGTCACATGCGCGTAAAAGCATGTGATTATCATATAACTAAGTAATCCGTAACGAAGTATGGAATAACAGGCTTATCTCATTGTATACACCGATGAATTTTTATTTCATACTTTTTTTTACATTTCTATTTTTTCTTGAAGAATTTTTTGTATAGGTTATTACATGTTAAATTACAAAATAGTATCTTTGTAACTATTATGCATCATTGGCACGATATTTAAATAAGAGTCAATTATTATACCCTGTAAAAATGTAACATATACAAATAGTACAAATAGTGAAGGTAATTTATTGATACTATTTTGTTTACGTTCTTCAGTTTAATTTATATTATAAATTTTACATTTTTAAAAGCTAAGAAACGACAAGTATTTCTAATTCAACGCGGAAAAAAGCAATCCAAATTGAACATCAGAAAGTTCACATTCATTACTAGTAAATTGATAAATAGATCATATAAGAATAAAAAATGTACCAGTGTTTAGCAAATGCTATTTGTAAATGTGAACTAAATTTTATTTAGCCATAAATTTATAATTGTTGAATCTATCAATTTGAATGAATAAAATAAATCCATTGAAATTATGCAATGTGTAAATAATTCATTGATAAAAAATTTAATTTTCAAACAATTATTGCGAAATATTGATATTTTTGAGAAAATATCAATGATACGTAATACCTGAGAAAGATCTTGTGAAAATTGTACTGGAAATTTTTTTATTTATGAATTATTTAAACATTCAAACATATTAAATTTGTTTTATATTTAAAATAATTGATAGTTTTAGGATTATTTACTAATAGCGATTAATGTAAAAGTTATTACTAAAAAGTTTTAAATATTCATGGTTAATCAAAGCCTAGTTAAAAACACCTTGAAGCGTAAATTTTGTGTTAATTTGTGTTAATAATTTTAATTTGAGGAATTTGTAATGGATGGATAATTTCGAATTTGTTGTATTGATCCATTAATTTCTTGTTTTTGAATTGATGTCGTAAGTTTGTAGATAATTTGATATTTTATCTTTTCGTACTCAACATTATTTCGTTGTATGTTCATAATAACATACCATAGTGCTCTACTTCATGGGCCAATTTTTTCGTTGCTTTTCTGTGTTTTGTTTTTTGATAAAGTAAATTGTTAGATGTTTTAGATGCTAAATGTGGATTAACAATATTAAATTTTATAGAGTGAAGGGAAAAAAATGATTACTAAGGAAGTATTTATTGTCGGTTCCTGTATAATCACGGGCGTTAGTAACGATGAATATATTAGTTATTTACCGCGATAAATTACTATTACAAATACAAGGTTATTATTTTTTTCCACATGCAATTATGATGATGGTGAAGTAACGTTCTCAAGAAAGAAAAGGAGAAAGCATTGTAACCTATCGAATATGATATAACAAAGCCAAGTGTTAAAAAAATTTAGATAATTTCATAATCAAAAAAAAGATAATCAAAAAAAAAAAATAAATAATAATTTTTTTTTTTTACTTTATTTAGACGACTTATTTGGCGCATCAAATGTATTGGTAAAGTTACTTTTTATTTTTAGATTTTTTTTTTTTTTAAACGAGTTTTTTCACAGGTTAGTTTCGCTTGTTTTGATTTTAGGTAATTCCTTTCGGGTTAAATCGTTTCTTTTCATTGAAAAAGTTTTTTATTTATTTTTTTTTTTTTTCAGGCGGGTTGAACGCTGCGGGTCGTAGAAATTATAACCTTTTTCGAGCTGACTTAGGTCCGATATGAATTTTTATTATTATTTTTTGTTTTTTTTTTTTGGTTCAATAGCCATCTAATATTTTTATTTTTTACGTTTATCATAAAGCAATAAATTCGGAGTTCTTAAAAAATTATTTTCATAAAAGAGAAATTATCATTCAAATTACTGATGGATTAATTTTATATAAAATTCAAGAAATCCTATAAAATTTAAATTATTCGAGTAGCATATACCAAATAATTAATATGTATTTCGATATATAACATAAGATTGAAAAAACTTACTGCTTACCAAAGGTCATTAATACAATTGCCAATCAGATTGGATCACCGACTTACTGATTCCTACTGTATTTATTTCTACGCCAGCAGCTGCGGTTACTGCTACTCCTATATCTACTCCAGTTATTATTATTCTAATTCCTCCTCTTTAGATACTTTATAATAAGCAAAGCTGCGGTCCGCATTGAGTAAAAAATTAA